CTCTCTCTCTCTCCATGTGTGCTTGTGTATTCTTGTGATCCTGCAGTTCTGCTTGGAGATCTAATTCTGCTTGTGTTTACAGACCTTATCCTTTGGTATGTGGGTTAGGTCTGGATAATGGGGTTTGAGGAAGTTTAAGTAAAAAGATTTTCTCCCGTTAGCTATTTTTACTTGATTAATTTACTTTCAGCTTGACGGTCAATTATCTAGTGGAGACTCTGATTCTCAGCCCATTGCGGATTCTGTTCATGATTTAAGGGGAGATGGAAACAGTATGAAGAGTAAAATATGTTTTGATATAGAACTGCCCACAACCTCTTCTTAGACAAGAATTGTGTTCTAAGCAAAATTGTGAGGATCCGTCTCACTTTTATTTCCCTGCTCTTTGCAGAAATCCAGACAAGGGGATCCAGTTCCTGATCTCCCGAGGCTTCATCCCTGATACACCAATTGGCGTGGCCCATTTCCTGCTGCAGCGTAAGGGGCTCAGCCGGCAAATGATCGGGGAGTTTCTGGGAAACAGCAAGAAACAATTCAACAGAGATGTCCTGGAGTAAGTGTCCATCACCTGCTTTCTTCCTCTACCCATCACCAGCCACACTTTCTGCTATTAACCATGGTTAAGAATGTTCCTATAGATCAGATCTGGGTATTTTGTTCCCCCTGAAACCATCCCTGTCTGGCCTGCATGAAGTTGATTGGAAATCACCACATTTTTCGGAGTATAAGACGCACCTTTCCCCCTCTAAAAGAGGGTGAAAATTTGGGTGCATCTTATACACTGAATGTAGCCCCACCGTCCCCCACCCTTTGGCCTCTGCCTCCCAGCAATTTACCTCCTTGCAGCAAACGGGGAAAATGGGGCTTGCGGAGGCTGCAATAGGCTGTAGCAATCCCTGCAGCCTGAAACAGCTGATGATCGGGAGGGTGCTTAAACTGAAAGTGAAACTAGATGTTTGCTCCACCAGGCAACTGGCTGGGAGGCAGAAGCAGATTTTTCCCCCTTGTTTTCCTCTACAAAAGCTAGGTGCGTCTTATACTTCAGAGTGTCTTATACTCTGAAAAAATACGGTAGAAATCAAATGTAACTAACTTTGTGCCGTGCACACAATATACGTTGCTTTTATTTTGAAGGCAACAGCTCTCCCCCCCCCCCCCAATTTATGTACATACGTGAATTTGTACTTATTTTATTTTATTTATTTATTTTGTCAAACATGTACAAGACAACAGGTATAAGTATAAACATGAACAAAGGGAATGAGTACAAATAAATGGGGACAGGGACAATAGGCACGCTGGTGCGCTTATGCACGCCCCCTTTACAGACCTCTTAGGAATGGCGTGAGGTCCACAGTAGACAGTTTAAGGTTGAAGCAGTGAGGGTTTGAAGCTGTAACAACAGAGTCAGGTGGAGCATTCCAGGCGTTGACCCCTCTGTTGCTGAAGTCGTATTTTCTGCAACCGAGTTTGGAGTGGTTTACCTTGAGTTTGTATCTATTGTTTGCCCATGTATTATTGAGGTTGAAGCTGAAGTAGTCGTTGACTTGTAGGAGGTTGTAGCAGATAATTTTGTGTGGTATGCTTAGGTCAGACCGTAGGCGGTGTAGTTCAAGGTTGTCCAAGCCCAAAACTTCGATCCTGTGGCATAGGGAGGTCTATTGTGAATAGAGGAGTGGGGTACTCTTCTCGTGAAATACCTCTGGACCCATTCAATTGTATTGTAAGGTTCCAGCAGTTTCCCTGAGTCACTGAAATGCCCAATAGAGTGAGACTCGAGATGAGGCTTGCAAAAAATATCAGCTTTTATTTATGGCCATAGCAAAAGCTGGGTGATAAAACTATCTCCAAAACATACAAACAAATGCATGTAAGGAATAGCCACACCCTGCAAGAGGGGCTCAGAGTATTATATACATTTTTTTAGGCAGATAGAAACAAAGTTTATCCAATGAGAGATTCATTACTAACGTGATCTTTAAAGCGTTCTTTTGTTCGAGCTCCTGTCTCTGTCTACCTTATTTAGGGAGGATTCCTATAGCCTTGTGGTTTGAGGTTCATTTTATTTATATGCCGCCCTATTTCCAGCGGGACTCAGTGCGGCGCACAAACCCAAGGAGGGGNACAAGGCCCTACGATGCCCATGTAAGTAGGGCTGTGAATGCACGAACATGCATGCATACCAGCTATCCACTCATGCACCACCTATTCCCGATTGTGAATAGGCCCAGTGAGAGCCACAGCCAGCCCCGGGACCACTGTGGCACAGGATCAGTGATGGGAATCAGCCAGTTCGCACCTATTCGGGAGAACTGGTTCTTAACTTTCTAAGCAGTTCGGAGAACCGGTTGTTGGAAGAAATCTCATTTTGTTTCCCCACACACACACTTTACAGGGCTAATCCTGTAAAGAAGGCAGGAAGGAAACATTCTGGTGTTGTTTCTAGCCTAATCTTTATTACCCTGCTTACAGAAACTGCCTCTCCGGTTAACCCTTGTTACCTTGTAACATCTAAGGCGAAGCGCCCATCGACCTGAGTGACGTTGAGTTGGCCATGCCCACCAAGTCACATGACCACTTATCCCCTCCTACCTAGCTGGTCATCAGGGCAGAGAACCAGTTGTTAAATTATTTGAATCCCACCACTGCCCCTGTTCCAGCTCAACCAAAACATGGCTTGTTGGTGTGAAACCAGGTAGTGTGGAATGTAAACCATGCCTTACAGCTTAAAATGAAGTGAAAGTCGCGAGTTAACAGTTGTGAAGCAAACCGTGCTATAGCAATATGTGTGGATCAAGCCATTGGACTGGTTTACACTTTCCTAATTACAATTTGCTCAATAGCACTAGCAGTTAGACTTATTTACTGCTTCATGATGCTTTACAGCCCTCTCTAAGCAGTTTAGTATTACTCCCAACAATCTGGGTCCTCGTTTTACTGACTTCAGAAGGATGATGACTTTGACATAATTTATCACTTATATCTTTTATGTACACTGATAAATTCCTTGTGTGTCCAATCACACTTGGCCAATAAAAAATTCTATCCTATCCTATCCTATCCTATCCTATCCTATTCTATCCTATCCTATCCTATCCTATCCCATCCCATCCCATCCCATCCCATCCCATTCCATTAAAGACTGAGTCAACATTGAGCTGGTGAGAATTGAACTGTTGGCAGTTGGCAGAATTATTCTGCAACACTGCATTCTAACCATTGTGCCACTACGGAATGATGGAATAATCAATGAAACATTATCAGCTGGATTCATACAACACTTTACACCAAAAATTGTAGCCTTGGGGCCACCTACAGTCCAGCAGTTATGACTTTCCAGAATGGGAAAGGCTAAATATTTTGAGTTGGGGTGTGAGCCAAGGTGGCACAGTGGTTAAATGCAGCACTGCAGGCTACTGCTAGATCAGCAGGTCAGCGGTTCAAATCTCACCGGCTCAGGGTTGACTCAGCCTTCCATCCTTCCGAGGTGGGTAAAATGAGGACCCAGATTGTTGGGGGCAATATGCTGACTCTCTGTAAACCGCTTAGAGAGGCCTGAAAGGCCTATGAAGCGGTATATAAGTCTACTGCTATTGCTATTGCTATTGCTATATTTTGTTTTTTTGCTTACAGATAAAAGGCACTCGTTTTACTTTTTAAAATTCCATAAATCTGTGAAAATGTATCTTGGCCACCCCTACATGTGATGGTCCTTGACATACTGTTCAAAGCTTCTAGCCTGTGATAAAAACCAGGCCATTGTGGGGTTGAAAAATTTTAGCAACTAGTTCTCTGTCCAGTTGCTGGGTGGGCGTGGTCATGGTGGGTGTGGCCTACCTGGCCTCCTGCACCACAGCAGGGTGGGGGTTTGCCCTCCCCAGGATCCTCAAGGCTTTCCTTGAGCCTCTGGGAGGGCGGAAACAGCCACCCCAGGCTCCGGAGACCCTCCGGAGGCCAGAAACGGGCACGTTTCCAGTCTTCTGGAACTTCCAGGAGGCCCACTTTTCGCTCTCCCGGAGGCTCCGCACGGGCCCTGCACTTACCTGGCATCCAAAACGGGCCCCATGGAGACTCCTGAGAGGAGCAGAGTGGGGTGGGTGGGGCCAGCCAGTCCTTGGAACTACCAGTTCAGCGAACCAGATGTAACCAGTTTGCCAGAACCAGTCCAAATTGGCTGAATCCCACCCCTGAAACCAGGGGTCCCCTACCCCCAGTCCCAGGACCGGGACTGGTCCGCAGCATGCCAGAAACTGTGCAAACAAGTGTAAACCAGTGAAGCCCCACTCCAGTGGTGGAATTCAGCCAGTTCGCACCTATTCCGGAGAACCGGTTGTTAACTTTCTAAGCAGTTCAGAGAACCGGTTTTTGGAAGAAATCTCCTTTTGATTTTTTCCACTTTACAGGGCTAATCTTGTAAGGAAGGCAGGAAGGAAAAATTCTGATGTTGTTTCTAGCCTAACCTTTATTGCCCTGCTTACAGAAACTGCCTCTCCAGTTAACCCTGATGACACTGTCACAGCTAAGGCAAAGCACGCCCATTGACGTGCGTGACATTGAGTTGGCCATGCCCACCCAGTCACATGACCACTGAGNGGGTGGCTGCCCCCCTTTGCCAAGTTGTTTTTCGGCAGAATGCTTTAAGGATTTATGAGCCAGGAAAACTCCCTAGTTTGGTTCCTTTATCTATGTGGCCTGCTATTCCCCTGTAACAATTTCTTCTACTAGCTTGGTTCCTTTATCTATGTGGCCCATGTAACAATTTCTTCTATATTTTCAAGAATGTCCCTAGCTTTGAAGCCGAGAATAGAAGCCAGACGCAGCAGTGAAATAACATTTGCAGTAATGCCATCCAGTATTAAGGTTTCAATTTGCTAGGCTAGAAAACAACTAATTTCTGAGAGTATACAATAATATAAGCAGAAGCCAATATAGATTCATATTGATTCATATACTCCAGTATAATTTAGGCATTAAAAGAGAAGCCAAAGACTGAGTTGCAGTAAGTAGATATCGGGTGATTCTGAGGATACTGTGGGAACTTCCATGACACAGTCTTGTCCAGTTTGTAATACAGAAGAAAATGGCTAAACAATACAAAAGGTAAGGCTGGATATTTAGTGCTAGTCTCTTATTCATGAATTTAGTGATGTGTTGGCAGCTTTTCCCCAGGCAATTCCCTTATCTCTGATAGTTCTTAAGACTGACAAGCTAACTCTTAGCAATCTCAGATTCAAGCAGTTAAAATTCACCCTTCCACCAAGGTGCTTAGGAGCCATCCTAGAGCTACCAAACCAGGACTTCCACATATCCAGATCATTACTAGAGTGCAGCAAAGAGAATCTTCTGAATCTCTTTGTTGCCATCTAGTGTTTTAAAGCCTAGATAGTTGTAATGTACATGTTGCTGTAATATGACTTAGTACAATGTGTGAATGGCTTATATGATGGCTTATAAGTAATGCAACAAAGGGGAAAATGTATTACATTTATGGGATGTAATCATATTAATAGTAATTCAATTTGAAATTGTTTTACATTTTAATTGTATAAAATCAGAT